GAGTGATTTGCTTTAAGCTGGAAATATAAATTTTAGTATCAAACAATGCCTATTCCACAGATTACATTGCCTGCGGTATTGAAACTGTTAGTATTTTTGATCCTTTTTTTGGCAGTAGCCATACTGTCATCTAGATGAATAAATTCACTGGGGAGCACAACAAAAATTAGAGTTCTGAGGGGTTAAAAGGATGATAAAATATCTCCCACTTTAAAATAATGATGAAATGTATGCCATTTTTCATAAATAACATAAAATGTTTTGATAATCAAAAAAAGTTTAGATTTGATAATTTGTATATCTAAAATATTGATTCTGAAGTAATGCTGACTGTCAATGCATTCTGCCTTCACTGATGTAGTGCAATTGAGGCTCTGGGGAAATAGCATTCGAAGGATTGGCATTTCTTGTTTTATTTGTGAAAATGTTACTCCGCGTGCCCAAGTGCTCTGATGAGTTGTTAGTCTCAGCTATGAATGGACTTCTATGTGAATTGATAGGCTGTTTATTTCTCTCTGTGTACTCTCATCACCCTTAATCCTTAACCTGGGATTCTCTGTCACTTTTGTGAAGAAGGTCACTCTATTCTCTTTGAACAGAGGTGGTGAACACAAGGTTAATTTAAGAAATATCAAATCCTACATCATCATCAAAGCGAAGTGGGAGCTTTGGGATACACCCCAAGAAGATTACAAGATTTGGTCCAGAAAACATTTCTAGATACTTCTTTATCCAAATGCACAATTTTCCAAAGATGGTTTATTTGGTTTTGGTTTTGTGGAGTTTTTTACTTCATTCTTAGGACAGTGGAGTCAAATGTTAGAAAATTAGGATTTCACATGAATTTTAGTTCATCCAGAAACAGCAGAAACCAAACCTTATAGCTTTGTTTTCAAGCTAATAAGCATATTTTAACCAAGAACTGGGAGCTCCGTGGAAAGACTAAATAAGCTTATCAAAACCCAACAAAGGTATAGATATTGCTGGTGTTCACAATGGATTATTGTTAGAATCATTGTATCATCCAAGTCAGCTCATCCTTCTCTTTAGGTGACAACTAAGAAGAGCCACAGGATTTTCTGTATGAAATATCCAGGCAAGGAGTATGGGAAGTCATATAGCTTCTTAAAAAAGGTAAGAGCAAACCTGGCACCCCGTGCTGTAAATTTTCAAGTGATCCAAAAGCTCTATTAAATTAAATAATAGAATTTATATGCTAATTAGGATTGATTTTTACTTCAATCTGAGAGAAAACAAATAAATTGCAGACCAGCCTTGGTCCTACGTTTCCCTTATGATCTTACCCCTAGGTCTGCAAACGGCCCATCATACAAAGCCAACTGAGCAACTCGACACCTGTCCCTGTTTGCAAGTGTCTGGGGCGTGCTGTAACCTCCTCTCAACGCGTTTTCCTCAGCAATCAGTGCTTCCAGCTCTGGTGTGGCTCCTCCTGTTACCAATGTCCGTATCAGTGTGAGGATATTGTCATTGAAGTATGTCTGCAGAGATAAAAGAAAGCTCTTTAAGCAAACACCATTAAAGTCACAACTGAAGACATCCAAATTACAACTTTTCTGGGTTTCTGCTGTTTAAAGTTCTTGGCTGTCTCTTCAAATAATTTTATATAGAAAGTGAAAAGACAGCAGCCTCCAATTACTCTATTTTCTTCTATCCCATTAGGCTCCTATACTAGATCCTTCCTCTCAAACACCGATTCAGGCTGATTTTTATTAAAGTACAAAAATTTGAATGATTTATGTTTCCTATAATTGGTGTTAGTAGTGATGCAATGACTGCTTTCCTTCTCATTGCCTTCATGTCTAATAATGGGCTTTAGGACATGTAATTGTAAAATTCAGACCACATTTAAAGCTTACACAGGCTAGATTGCCTTTTTACTCTTGTCACCAACTCGTTGGGGAGCTGCCTTTGTGCTGCAAATGTCATTACTTATTACTGTGGCTGGACTCTAGCAGTCTAACCGATGTATTGTACTAAACATCTTATTACGAGACTTGACAGTGTTCAGACATAAGCATGTATCAATTAAACATCTTGAGTTCATTCCAGATAAATGTATGATGAGTTTGGGATCCTGGTGGTCCTTTTAAAAAACTCTAGGGTATAGGGTAAGTGTGGTTTATTAGGGAAGATTTACTCCGCACTGACGTTTTGCCAGCATCTGTAGCAGCGCTGGTCTGTCAGGCAAACAATGGGTACTTTAAATATTAATTTAATGCCAGCTGAATGACTTTCAAGTTCACTTAAAAGTATACCGGTATAGTTCAGAGATACTCAGTTAAATATCTGCAATGTAACGTACTGGCAAAAAATAATGTACAACAGAAGAAGGAGACACCATCACTTACAATGTCACTAATGTCTGTGTTTTCGAAAGCCCTGCAAGTGTGGGGGACATAGAAAAAGAGAACGAGCTCACTGTAGAGTACACAGGATTGACATTACAGGATTTGTGGATTCACATTACTAGATTTGTGACTTGTTGAACTTAGGACTTGGAACAAATGTCTGAAATCCAACCTAGTAAAAATGAACGCTGAATTCTGAAACAGTGCTTGTGGTCCAAAAATAATACTTTTTTCTACAATACTTTTTGATTAAATTCATTACTCTATCCATATAATGTAATTGTACTTAATACATGGGTAAACTGAGGTACAGGTTGAAATATTTTATCCTGAGATCAAAAAGCAGAACTGGCTTCCTATCCATGTTACTTTGATATTCTTTCTTTGTAGAACGAAACTTTGGTTTCATTGTTCACTTGACATGTCAGATAAAACAGGAGAAAATGAATTCTATGTGGCAATGTTTTTCACTGTTACACTGAAGTTTCATAACTTCAAGCTTCTCTGCTTATCTACATAGGCATATATGCCATTCACCTGTTGACTAAATTAAAATGAGAGGAACATATTGTTATTGTTATACATGCCCTAAAGCAAATATTTGCATCTCATCAATTCCAATTATTTTAAATCAGCCCGGGTATGGCACTACGTATTTTAAATACAAAGCGTACAGTAAAGAGTTGTCTGACATTCGCAGGGGTTCAGGAAGATTCAGGTAGTCTAAACCAACAGCTAATCTCGTATGTGTATGCACTGTGCGACAATTCAAGTGTGATACTCAAACCTTTCTTAACATATAGAAAAATTAGTGACCCCTTGAAGAAATGTAAGTCTGGAGTGATTACATGATGTTTAATAAGAATTGCAGTGGTGAGAGAGAGAAGACATTGAGGCATGATTGTTTATTCTTCAATTACTTCTTCCTTGTCCCTGAGGTGAGAATCGCAGTTGCCCTCTTTGGTAACTCTTCTCATTATGCTATATTTTTCCAACATGGAAGTACTCTGAATAAAAAAATCAGTATTAGGTTTAGTCTCTTTTCTTGGCCTTTGTCAGTGTATATACTAAAGTAATTAGCATAATTCCTTTGCTTTTGCAGTTAGGCAACGATGTTACTTGACACCAGTTCCATGGATATAAAGACAAATTCTTCTAGATCTAGAGGTTGGAGGCACTGCAGTTGTAGAAGCTGGAAAAGCCCTTTCAGTAAAAACATGCTTCAGCATATTCTATATGGCACTTTAAGCACATGTCTTCACCAAAGCATACCATTTTCCGCAATAGTATCTTTTCTCATGCCTTCCCCACTATTTTATTCAGTATTTTTGATTCCTTTCCTTCTCTAAGTAGTGATATTTAATATTCAAAAAATGCTATTCTCAGTTTTACATCTATAAATCAAGAGAAGAACATGAAACAAAAGTAAAGCATATCTTTACTGGTAGATTTTTCCAGTCTGGTTTACAATAAGGATAACCATGGTAAGAAATTTTCAGTTGCTCTAAGCCTGATAGATGTTGGTTTGTGTAAAATAGCTTGGTTTTATAGACTGCTGTGATTGGTAAAACATGCAAAAGTCTAAAATTGTACTAATAACTTTATTCTGTAATTCAAATTATAGCAACTATAGCCAGAATCCAAGATTTAAACACATATACTCTTAGCTCATCTGAACTTTGCATTGTGCAAGTACACAATTACTCCTTACTGTAAATTCAGTTGTAGCTCACTACAACATGATCTACTAAGAAAGTATATTCTGGCCATACTGATCATTTTACTACAGATCTCATATTAAGCCAAGAAATGAAAGCAGTAATAAAATAATGTATCAAGTCAGGCACTTGTCACAAATTTATTAATACAAATAAAATAAAATAAAATAAAATAAAATAAAATAAAATAAAAAAAATACACCACTCCACCCCAATTAAGACATAATGGTCCCGATTCTGACTTATGTCATATGCCAAACAGGAGTAACTCTGAGAGCCATACACTGCTATGAAACTGATGCAAATGGGAAAAGAAACAGGTCTATTGTTGACAGCACAGAATGCTGTCACCGGAGAAAGGCCTCCCACTGCTAGACAAATGTTAAGGCAAAGCTAAGACACTTATTGGCAAAGAAGCCAACATTTATCTTGGAACAATGGCTTAATTTGGGTTTCACACCATGACTGATGTGGATGTCACCATTTACTCAGATGGATGAGTGCAGCCAAATGATGGGTTTTGTTTATTTGCCATCAATGAGTGAAAAGATTCCAACTTTCAGGACAGGCTGCTCTGGCATTTCAACTGATCAGAAAATGCCCAACCACAAGCAAGAAAGGATGGGTGAACAGGAAGCTGTAACTTGTCACCTTCTGCTAAATAGAGTTGCTTCCTCCTTTACTAATATATTTAATGCTCCTCAGGAAAGACTCATCTGTTCATGCTTTCAATTGTCACAAAAATCAGACTCATCTCATTACCTCTTGCCAGTTTGGAACTGGGGGACACTGAAAAGCTGAATTAGCTGATATCCATTTCCTTTGGAATAATAATACACTGAAATCAATCTGAGAGTGATCTTCTACTTGCTCTGTGGGAGGGTACATGGCCTGGATATGCCAGTACTTATAAGAAACTGATCTACAGAATGTCTTTGGAAAGGTGCTGCTGCACTTAAAGTAACAAGACACTTTCCAGTGATGGTAGTGAATTCCTTTTGTTGGCTGTAAAATCATAACTGAAGAAATAGTTGTTTGCTGCTGCCATTAACTGAACCCCACACTGGATATCTGTACAACATTGCTATAATCGGCATCTGGAATAAGAATAGGAAATAGGTGTAATCTAAATACAGAAAAAAAGGAAATGCATCATAGACACCGAAACTGGGTTAATAGCAAGGAAATTCTGACACAGATATCTGAGCTAGCAGTGCCACCTAGCCTACGCTCCGGAATCATAGTGCAGCTCAAACGTTTCGGGGACGCTTTCCCATTTGTTCAATCATTTTTTAAAGTATAATTACTGAAGTGCTTATGTTTTGCAGTTAATGCTGTCAAGCCTTTTAAACTAATTGGTCTTTTACAGAAAATTTAACTGAAAATTAGCACATCTTTTAATAACATTGCTTTAACTTTAATAGCACTTTGCCTTACATTTATAATTACTCTAAAATTGTCATTTTCCAAGTCATATCTGCCATTTTGTGTGTTTCCTAGTGGTTTTTTATGGATTTCTTTTAAGACTCCTCCTCCACTGCATGCAGTTTCTATCACTTTCAAACAAGTATTTTAACTTGTTTTTTTTTTTTTCATTTGGAGGAATTCTGTTGAATGAATCGTGTATCTGAACCTGGGGAATGTCTGAGCTAACATCAGTTACTTATAGCAATAACAAAAAGGCCTTTGAGAGAGAATCAACAGCAGAAAAGGAACAACAGGGTTTTGCAGTGTTTGAAAAATCTATTGATTCTCAAAATATTGTCCAGACTTTAAAGAAGCTTGCGACAATTTAGGTTAAAAGATGCTGCTTGCTAATCCTCTGAACAGATTTGCACAAAAAAATAGTCTTGTGTTTCAAAATGTCCATATTATAGATTAGAACAGTTTCTTTTCTGTATGAATAAGACTGTGAGGATCACTGAGGGAGAACTCTTGAGTAAGGGATGTACTAAAAAGTTGGTTTTAACTGTTTTGACTATTGTATTCCATTCTGTGCTTTCACTTATATGAAGAAGTAGAATTTAGTATTATAGAACAAAAATCAAGACTTAAAGTTCTGGCACAAGGAAATAAATTCTAGGACATCGAATGTTAAATTGTATATTCTGTTTCTGTGTGTCTTTGCTTCTAACAGCACCACCCAGACAGTTTACCAAGTCTATTGTCAGGGGTATGTATGGGAGGGATGCCAACCTGCCAGAACTTCTGTGGTTCTCGTAGCTTTGGAAAAAAAGCCTAGGTTCGGGGGATGTATCCAGTGGCTGTCAGACAGTGCTGCAGCTACCCAATTTCCATACTGGTTTGGATCATCACAGAGACCTTTGGCAATCTGCACACTCCCAACTGGGAGAGCTTAATTGTATCTGTGATTTTTAGCAGCTGAGTTACAACTGGTTTTGATCATCTGATCCCAAGATTCAGTCTATCAAGCAGTCCTAGAATAGTGTTAGGGATATCTTGTATTAAAGGTTGTCTCTGAGGAAGTGGAGAATAACAGCCATTTCACGGGAGCCATTTTACAAGGACAGTTGTGGTAAGACAGTTTCAAATAGTCATTCCTAAAAAAGCAATTCTCAATATAGTGAATTATTTTTTTTTCCGAAAGGAATAACAGAGAAGCTTTGGCTCTCAGGCCAACTTTTCAAACCTTTGAAAGTACTGTGTGTTGATAAAACTGGTTTCCTCACATGCACAGGATTTTCTGGAATAATTAACAAGATCCAGAAAAGGAAAAAGTACTTCTCCTCAAAAAAATTTGTTTCTCTTAAGTTACCCTATGTCAAGTAACTTTTTTATAGCTGAAGATAATCTTTTTACAAAAACATTCACACTATCTAAAAGATGCTTCCAATCCCATGTTTTTTAATCGTGTTCAATTTGGTGATGAGAATGTGCTTTGCTTTTCAGGAGCGGTACCACCTTGAGACTGACAGACTACGTATATTTTTTCCCTGGGTTTGCATATGTTATGACAAAACAAATATTAATATATCATTCAAGTCTCTGATGACAGTAGATGCCTCTTCAAAGACATAGTAATGATTAGCTGGTGCGATTTAACAATAGCCACTGCCACACTTAAAACATGAACTACGCCTACAGTCTTCACACCAAGTACAACAATGCACTATCACCAAAGCCTGGAGAGACCACTATTACCAACTCATCAAAAAGACAATGCAGTTTTTGAGCTCCTTAAACTCGCTAAGCAATGATCCTCAAACTACCACAGTGTGAATCATAGGCTCGTGGAATTTATCCTCTTCGCTGTAGAGGACAAACTGTGTGTAGATAGCCTGTAGATAGCATTTTGAAAAGTAAATGTCATTAAGCCTTTTATCTTTGAAATAAGAAAATAACAATTTCAAATTTGAAATATCTAATACTGTCGTCTTAAATTTAGGAAATAAGATTAACTAGCAGAAAGTAATGATCTTCAGAATTCAGATTTGAATCAGAAAATGACAACACATTTTCTAATCTGAGATTCATGAGTAGGGTTTAGTCCACTACCTCTAAATTAATAAAATTATTTAAAATAAAATAATATTTCAACACTGATTAATACTGTTATTATTATTATTCAATAACTGAATACTTCAGCAAATTATTTTAAATATTTTTTGTACATCTTTTTCTATATATACATCTATATGCATGTTTCAAATTACCTGCATGTCGGAAAGAATATTACATTTATGGGAGTTATTCTACTTTCTAATCTTTCTTACACCTGTTTTACTAGAAAACCTCACTGATGTGAGAAGAGAATCATCCTTAATGGAGAGGTTCATGCATTGTACATTTGTATTGCAGCCCACATGAGGAATTTGCATTCCAAAGATTTCAACAAAGACCATAAGTTGGAATTTTTCTATAAAAAATAAGCGAAAAAAACCCTGAATTACTAACAAGATTGAATAATGAACTATATCTTTGTCTCAAAATGAACTGACACAGGCCAGCACAGCGTGAATTATTTCCTTCTTATAGAATTCCTGTGCATTTAATAGGATGAAAGCATGACTGCAGATCTCACAATTTAGTTAGGATTTGGGGTTCAGTTTGCCAGCAGTGGGTTGTAGTTAGGCAGAATAAATAGAAGCTGGTCCCTGAAAACAAGTTTACTCAAGAAAAAAAAAGAAGAGATAACAGAGCACAAATAGATTAGTTTGTGTGAGAAACGCTCTGCTCTTCGGAGAAGTGAAAGGATCATGCATCCATCCCATGAGAATAGGGATAGTAAAGGGAAAACATCTCACACATCTTACACTTTCTGAAGGGTCAAGAAGAATTGTACTTTTCCAACTCTTTACTAGGCCTTTGAGGAATAAAAGAGAAAATAACACTGCCACTGATCAGCAAAGTAGTGAAAGAAAAGACAGGATGGCGAACAATTCTAACTGACTGAACCCTTGGCTTGTCTTTTTGATTAGTACTTTTTCTAAGTTAGAATTTTCTACTCTTGTTATCACATTTACTTCTCTGGCTTCAGGCTGCACTGTCCCTGACATATAATATGACCACTTAGATGTGAAAATGTTTGAAAAAAAGACTCTGATGAAGAAAGGAATTGCAGAAATGGAGGGGCAAGTTGTCAAAAACTGAAAGTCACTAAAAGCTAGCGATAACTAAAAATAGTGCGAGGATTATATGAGTTCCAAGCAAAAATTTCTCAATAGTCATGTTCCACATGTATCTTATTGCCTCACTATTATCTATGTCATGTAACTTTGCACTAGAAAGCAATGGTGTCTACAGTATATCACTCTCTTTTTGTGGCAATGCCAGTGGCAATCAGAAGGATTAACCCTACTTTTCCCAAGATTCTGGAAGTGCCCTACTGAACAATTCATTCTGGGACATTGATTTAGATAATAATGTGAGTAGATAAACAGCTCTCCGTATAACAATTTGGAACCTTCATGTTAAATTATTCCCATTTACAATGTGAATATGCTAAATATTTTATACATAGAAATTTTAATTAGAGAAGGTACAGAATTTAAGTGTGCTTGCTTAGGTTTTCTGAATTTGTCACATCCGCAAAATATGGCAAATAACTTTCAAAAAAAGTGTTTTCTGAGTTTATTGCAAACCCCTAGGCTGCATCAGAATAAAATTCTATCAGTGTAGACTGATATTATTCATCTGTGGATGGAGCGTATGAGGAATACAGCAGGGAAAAAAAGTATGAAATACAGGTACATAAATATGAAATATGAATAAAATATTAAATAATAAATATCACTGTGAATTTTTCTTAAAAGCAAAAAGCTTCATTCTGAATTTCAGTGAAGGTCATACTTGGCTCCTTTAAGGAAATTTGTTTGCTCGTTTCTAGAATTATGTGCAGTTTACAACAGATGATTCCCATGGAACTATGGAACTTTATTCAATGGGGAGCTCAAAAAGCCTACGCTCAGAGTTTAAAAAGACTATGTCCTTGCAACACCTAGCAGAGCTTAAGGTCCCTCTGAAAGAAGTGTAGCTCACACAGAGTAAGACTGGTCTGAAAATCCAGCCAATATGAAGCAAGGGAGGATGAAAAGGACTATAACTGAGGTGTTTGCTCCAAAATTGTACTAAGGCTGCGAACAAAAAAAACCTAATGTAAACATAACTAAAGGCTAAAATTTCTGGCATGCACTTACGTTTTGATTCACAAGACAACTCGTGAAAAAGAGATCATCTCTCTTCATACAAGTAGAGTTCACTTGATGAGTACAATGGCTTTCGCATAGTTCTACCAGCATTCCTCAGCGCTCATAGTCAGAGAATTGTTCAAGGCTGCAGCAAGTTAAAAGCTTAAAACACAGTTGATGCTCTCTGGCGGGAATGGTGAGCATAGGGATTGACACACTGATTTTGTGTCTGGGTTTCAGGAGGCAGATACAATTTTTTTTTTTTTTAAATATTATCCTTAAAATCTGACATGATAGTCTTTGCTTTTAAAATTGTGGACTCATGGTAGTCCTAGACATCTCAGTTGTTTTAAGGTCTCTGTGTCAGACTGAAGAATAACCTAGTTTAGGCTCTGAAATTCTCTTGACATCTGAGACATAAGTGTCTTCTCCTGACTACCTGTGGAAAAGGGACTATGCTTTCATACTCTTTCACAGTAAGTCTGGTGGAAGGGAATGAAAAAGGTTTTGTTTGCTTACTGCGCTCATGAGAGAGTCCAGCACGCTGACAGCAAATGCGGTTCCACATGCAAAGGGCTGTGTGAGATACAGTTCTGTGTCTGGATCATCATCATCATCTTGGTCCAAGAACTGAACATTTGAATCATTTACTGAAAACAATAATAATAATAAAATCATAAGGTGTTTTTGGGTCACCAGCAAGTGACTTTACACATTACACAATCAGAAAGAAAAAAGAAACGGCATATGTCTGGAAACACAGACTTGTCTTTGACGTCACTGAAAATGAAATCAAGATGGATGTGAAAATGTGCATTTAAAAATCTGTTGATCATTATCTTGCTCGTAAGAGGTGACTCTCTTGCTCTTGCGTGACTATCTCTTTGCTGTAAAAGTAGCTTCGTGGCACCAGCTGCCTGTGCTCAAAATGAGATGCATGAAGCTCTTTTATATATTGAGACAATCTTGGTATTGGTCAAGTACAGTGGCTAAGGCTGTATGCATGTACAGTGAAATGCTACCACAAGACACCAAGTCAAAATCCCATTGTAAAATAAAGACTGTCCACAAAAATCTGATATAGCCCACAGGCATCTGTTAGATGTGCTGCTGTGATTCTTACTGGAGTGGTGTTAATGCACTTACAGCTCAGAAGAGGATAAACTATCCCTTTAACATGCATCTATCTGAATGAATGAGCAACACTCTAGCTACCCTCTTACAGCACTACCTTTTGTTCAAATATTTGTCTCCATAACTTCACTTCCTTAGCCACAAATTCTATATTAGCCAGTGTGAAAAAGAACCTCCATCAAGCTGTTTTAAAGAAAAAGCCCCAATAAAGTAATATTTGTCATTTAGACTTTCTCTAGCATTTCATTGTCACAGTTAAGCTCTCTGCCTCCACCTCATTCTACCAAAACCAGTTGTTTCCTTGAGATCAGCACATCAAGTGGATCATATTTCATGAAATATTTCATTTCCATATTAGCCCTCCTCAAGCATGAAAGCAGACTGCTTAGTTATGCCACTGAAACACTCTAACCTACTAAATGACAAATTAATTTCAGTTCCTATGCATGGAAGGGAAATTAAAAATTTTTTCAGCATTTGAAACTGCACATATTGACTATGTCCCTGTTCCGTATGGTATGACATCTCCTGAGCTAACCCAGTAAGACTGGAAACCAACTGCTGTTAACTTGATCAGGTTTTGGCTCTGGACTTTTTAGGTTAGAAAGTTCCGTTCTATATAATTTCATTTTCTATTCACTCCTTTTCCAACCCGTATATACTACTGTGCTTGCCATGCTTAGCTTATAAAACATGAATAACTACAGATAAAGCCTCAAAATAGCTGTCTAAAAGAGATGAGAATAGTTATCCTCCTTTCAGAGAGCCTTGTTGAGCCAGTTCTTGGCCGTGACCATTCAGTCTGGACCTGAGCTGAAGTGGACTGAAAATTCCTGCCTTCCCACTCCCTGATGCAACCACGAAAACATAACACCTCAGCGTTGTAAAAAGAAGAGTTCTGCCCTGGGAGGAAGGAGAATTTCATGCTAGCAAACACCAATATCCAAAATACTCCTCTCTTTGTACAATCGCTATCAATTTATTCTCCAGATTCTTGAGCAAAACATTTGAAAGCCTGACGTATCATTTCAAAATGTACCTTTTGAAGAGCTTGTGCCTTAGTTTAATTTGCTAGTTGAGAGTAGGCACTATTGACAGCAGCATTCTTTTTCCACTTACATCTGGCAGACTAATACCTGACTTTGACACCAGCGTGCTAGCCGTGTGCGGTGTCAGTTTTCACGGTACTACAAATCTAACGTGAATCCTGCAAGTGCGGTTTTATCCTCAATATCTTCATCTTCCTGATGCAAGCTAGCACACTAGGATTTCTACGAAAGGTCTCCGGGCTAGGTGAGGTAGGCTCAAACACGTAGTGCTGCTGCACCATAGGAAACACTCATCAAACACTGCTCGCAGAAGCTGGCAAGAGCTCTCTTTATCGAGAGGGACCAACACAGAAGCTTGGCTGTGTTTTTACCACTTCAAAACCCAAGCTTCTGAGAAAAGGCGTACTTCCTAAAATAAACAAACAAATAGCTTAAGGGAAAGTATGATGCTGAGGTTTCTTTTTTGATATCTTTTACTTCTTCTTGGACTTCCTGTGAGCACTGCTAAGGCATGTCCACCAAATTGACAATAGGCTGAAATAACAAAAAGAGAAAGAGAGAGAGAAGGAGAGAAAAATTGGTGGGGGGGAAGGAGGGCCCGGGAGGTGGGGACCCAGGCCAAAGAAAATGAATTGGTGAGAAGGTGCTATGAAAACAGCCGGCAGGTCAGACGAGTGTGATCAAAGGTTTACTGATGCTGCGTGAAAAAAAAATCATTAAGAAAGGCCAGAACAAGACAGTCAATTTCAACCAGAACCACAAATAAAACACATTCAAAGCAGTGCCATGAGGGTAGCCCCTCTGATACAGCCAGATAAATAAAGGAAAAGCTGATGACAGTAAGAAAAACAACAACAACAGAAAATAAGACAGTGATGTGAAGGAAAAAGGCACTTCTTACCCAGTTCAGTTATCATTAGAATGTGGGTTCCACTGTTTTTTTCCTGACTGATTGAAACCAAAGGCAGAAGTTTGCCAGGCTTAGCTAATAAGTAAAGTATTTAGGGGGAAAAGAAAGTACAGAAAGAGAATAAAGTAAGGGAAAAAGACAGGTAAGGCTCTAAAAAATAAAACTGAAAAGGAAAATAAGAGGACAAAGGACCACAAATCAAGTTTGTATTTGCCATGAAAAAAACAGAACAGCTTCTGCACTTCACATCACACCACTTGACAACATAAATACCCACAGCTAGAGTGGAAATCAGAGCCTGGTTACCTACCATCATTGTATTCTCAGGAGTAAAATGTCTCATACTATTATACAGAGTTTGGTTACACATGATTAAACGGTTCTGGACCATGAAGAAATAAACAAATGGCCTCTTACTATTGATTAAATGCACAGGAAATGTCTGCTCATACTTACTGTGTTTTTTTCTTTTCTAACCTTAGCCCAAAGACCCCTGCTTATTTGTTACACTATGTAAAAAGCATCTTGTCTGATAGAGTGTTTATTTAAGAAAATGGAGAAAGCCCAAAGGAAAGAGAGAAATATATTTCAGTTATTCAAATAAAGAGAAACAACTGTTACTAATCTTTCTTTAGAGACAGTAATGCAGAACAGTTTTCAGAAGAGAAAACATAGCTGTGTAAGATACAGTACAGGTAATTTTCCTGAGACTGCATAACAAGGGAAGAGAGAAAAAGATATGGGAATGTACATGGAAGGATAAATGTTATCTTTTCTTACCTAGCTCTGTTATAATAGGGATGTTGGCTCCTGTTGTAATGGAGGGTTGACGCAACAGGCCATGGACTGGACTATTGTCCGGAGATGACCTATCCATCCCAGGGGGTGTAAAGCCTAAAAGAAAAAAAAAGGGAAAAAAAGAGAAAGTTTACACAGGACAAACTATATAATGAAAAATTCCCCACCGACTACTTTATTTTTTTCACCAGAAAAGTACAGTAAAATAATTGTCATTTTTTTTAAAAAAAATTACTTAATTTTCAACAGTTATTTCTTAAAAGCATAATCCTTCACAAATATTCAGGTCATTTCTACTGTAATACATTTGGTAGCTAATACAGAAGCAGAATTTTATTTTGTTATCCTAGGTAGTCTTTGCATCAAAACGTGCAAAATGGAAAAAGTAATGCTTACTTAAATATAAATAAAAAAATAAAGACTTCAGTGTTGGAGGAGTTTAATTTTGTCCTATTAGTATTTCAAATAATCCAGAAACGAACACCTTTTGTTAAACCTTTTAAAGAGTATTGTTTGTAAACAGTAGTACAACCTTGAGGAACAAATTGCTTCCGTTAGCAGGTTTTAGGTTTGATCAACATGAAAGACAAAATTTTCTGTTTTCCAGGAGCAACACAACCCACACAATTTTTTTTTTATCTTTTCAGGTGTAGCATTCATAATATGTATTTTTATGAGGATTACAATAATAGGAAAATTAGGATGGAAGGGCCCATTCTAATGGAAAAAAAAAGATAGGATGGAAGGAAAAAGACACAGGTTTTCAAACCATATGTAAGAGGAGTGCTTGAAAAGAAACTAGAAAGAGTTTTATGCCTTTGGGGATGTAAAGGAAACAAAGGTGGGAGAAGAAACATATTGGCAGGCACTCAAAGAAAAAAAAATATCTGGAGAGCAGCAAAGTTCACCTCTAAAAAAGATTGTGTTTTCAGCCTGATTCTCTACACAGTTTGAAATGGAGCTCTTGACACTGAACATTTTTTAATTTTTTTTTTTTTTTTAAATAAAAAATACCCAGGCAAAGCCTCTTAGGGATTGATTGTAAGTACTGAAAATAGGCAGTTAGAGAAAAGCCCATGCAACGGTTGGACTGGAAATTCACAGCTGAGACTAATGCATTCCATCTCCCTTGTCCATTAAAGCTGTGGAAAGCATGGGAATGTTCCTTTAATGTCATTATGACAGAAGCGACGGTGAAGTCAGAGTTTGACTTTCGGGTTTCTTGTAGACCAATGTCAAGGCAGCACTTTTAAGCAAATATTTTTCTGCTAGGAATAGGACTGAGCCAAGCTTACTTTAATACACACATTTCTGAGAAAACATTCTTTTTTTTTGCCACATTACGCCCAAGTTCTTTGACTTCACACCTGACATCCAGGAACGGACTTTTGATCTTCTGTCATTACAGGTCTAAATTAGTTTTGGAATCTCCATATACCAATTCTAAATTAATCACAGTCAAATCTTCTTGCAGTGTGGAAACTGTTTCACCGCATTAAATTCACGGATACATTCATCTGTTACTGAATTCAGAAGAAGACGATATGATATTATGTACTTTATCTTTCTTCAGTTTGAGAACTAATTTACAAACCAGGAAATCTCTAAACTAAACTGTAGTTGTTAACACGTGGTACTGGTTTTACATTGTCTTTCTGAGGGATTTATTGTTCCTTTCCAGCGATAATTACCATCACTCTTAAACTGTCTCTAAACAAGGCAAACTACAAAGACCACCAGATCTGGATGTCTTGATTTAATGAGATTTAAATTTTTATTTGATATTGTTAATTTTTCCCTATGTTTTGTCTATATCACATACAGAATATACAAGTAATAAAACTAGAATCACTGAGAAGAGAGACTTAGCCCTCCAGAAGATACCAGTATGAATTTCCTTCTGACTATCATATGAAAGTTAGAGATAACATGAGGATTGTAAGGACAGGATAAGTAAAAAGGGAGTGAAAAGCCTGTGAAAAAATTCCTTAGGAGTAAAAGAAGTGATGTGGTGGTATCTTCAACAGGCTTGCAAGACAAAAATACCGCCATAGGCAAACCTAAGACAGCAAAGCAATTCTATTTAATATTACCAGTGCATGGAAAATCTTTAGAAAGTAGATTTCTTAGAGACAATCGGAAATGTTGGCAATGCTAACAGTTGGTCATTTAATACTACTTGTTGTGCTGAAACTAATTCAATAAGACCAGCACAGTGACAGTGACAACTGGGACCGGTTTGCAGGTGTTTCCTTGTGTCTGGCACTGTGACTGATAGCCATATTGGCTCTTTGAATGCTTACTTCTGCATGGCAGAGCCTAGGATTTCTCAAACTCACAAAGTGAGCCTAATGGAGTTCCTCATGAGTCAGAGGTAACCCTGACACTCTTACAACTGCAGGAAAATTAAAGTGGGACTCCAAAGGGATGGCATGCCATCTGAGGTTAAGTGAGTATCAGTGTGACACCTCCTCCTGCAGCAAGCTCCAGTGTTTAAGTTTTTCATTCTGTTACGCTACAAGAAAGGCAAGACACGGCTTCTGTCACACTACATTAAAAAAAAAGCTCAAGTAGCTGTAGAGTTCTTGAGCAGTTAAAGTGGCAGGCCCAGTTGAGTCCTCTGCAGAATTACAAGTCGAAATGGCAACAGCAAGACTTTTTACACTCGCTTATGTGAGATCAGAGAAAACGAATCTTGTTCCCATGCACTCTAGGGGTTGTACTGCTGGGAGTATTCCTAGATGCTCTGGTTCTCCCTTTTCCTGAAGGCTTTTCTCTTCCCATTTCAGGATGCACTCCCTAAAACATCTTTCAGTGAATCAGGATCTTCAGATGGTAAGAGCACATCAGTATCTCCCTACCAGCTAAAAGCAAATTGAAGAAGGTTGGCATAACTGTGTCTAAACATGTAAGTCCTTCTTGCCCTCCCTCTAGTGCAATGTGCACACGCACAGAGGCACGCACACCCACACTCTCCATTGAAAGTTATTTGTAGCCACCTCTCTAACCCTTCAAATAGTTGTTTTCCTAGCATGGTGTTAGAAGATTGAAGTAAATGTGTCATTTCTTTTAGACATGGACTGTCAAGAGCTCTGTAATTGCACACTGCACACATAGTGCATTCAGTCTGAAATGCAGGAAGCATGTTAAAGGGATTTTGTTTTCTCCTTGAATGAAAAATACATTCATGCCTTAATATTTTTCATCCTATGGTCTTAGAAGATGTGAGAAATATCTGCTATCTTAATTTAATTTCCTTGTTTGTGCTTAATTCAGACACTTCTAAAAATCGACTTTTTAAGAATACAAAAATATTGGAATATTTTCAGGAAAGGAAAATTGGAGTACTTGGGGATTTTTGGAGTCACAAGGCATTGTACACCTTCAGGCCACATTCCTGCAGGAGGTGAGAAGGTGCTACAGATGTAGTAATATTCAAGCACCTCCAGAAGAGAAAAAAAAAAAAAAAAAAAGCGCAGGAAAACTAACCTGCTTTATCAGAACTTTCATTTAAAGGCATGAAAAACTACAAGTGACAGCTGTGCAGATTCAGTGAATGTGACATTTCTGAATTTCTTCAACTTGACAAGTAAACACCTTAAATCGGTAATGCTATATGCATAATACATGACCTGTATTTTGACATCCATCATCAAATGCTGACTTGAGAAAATACAGGTTTGTACGTCAAGGAATAGCACCCATAAAGCAGGGAGAAATTCAGGTCACAGGGTATTAGGAAAATTCTATTTCATTGCAGAAGCTGAAACAAGCTAAGGCATCAGATTTAAGATCCATTTTCAGCTGTGAAAAGATTCAATTCCTCTGCACAGAGCATTCATTTAGAAATGACATGCTTTCCTCACAGCCTCTTTTCATTTTCCTTTTCATATTCCATTTTCTCCTTCAGTCCCTAAACCTTGTTCCATTAATGCTCATAAAAATCGTAAAACAAGGCTGATAGTTGCGATCTTCTTATAACCACAGTGTCCTCTTGTTCAACAAACAACTGAGGGACTTGTGGCTACAATTGCTTAACAGGATCAAACTCTACAGCAAAATTTGTAAGACCGGTGCAAGCCTGAGCACAGTCCCTGCATAAGAAACACAGGTACGGTGGAGGACTTCTGGAGAAGGAAATTCTCTTTGCCCAACAATTAGGAGGTAAGGTGCAGCACAGTCATCCACTGCATCTGACACTAAATTGCTGTACTGGGTGAATGATTGCATCACTCCGGTTTTGGTTTTTTTTGTGGTTTGTTTGGTCTGGGTTTTTTCTCCTCTCTAATTAAACTGTCTTTACCTCAACTCATGAGGTTTTTTTCTCACTTTCATCCTTCTCCTTCTCTCTCCCATTCCACTGGGGGGAAGCAAGCAAGAAACTGAGTAGAGGCTTAGCTGCCAGCCAGGTCCAACCCACCACCGTTGGTGATAGTGATAACCACCACAACATGAGTGGCTTTGACTTCAACAGGAGGTAGCAAGCCCTTGTCCCTCTCTGAAACAAGATGCTGCCAAACAGTGGATTAAATATATCATGCCTCTGAGAGGAACAAAGGCTCTGGGCTCCTGACATGCTCAAAATCAGTGAGGACTGGCAGCTGGGACTCACTGTGTCCCTCCCAGCAGGAGGAAGGGACAGGTGAAAGAAAAAAAAAGATTGTATTAGAGGCGAGATCCTACCTCTTTAAGATATTCTCATCTCTGTGGAAGGAAAATCTTTGGGAAAACTACGTCCCCAGAAGAAGGCGAGCACTTTTTCCTAAGAGCTACTGGGGGTCCAGGTTCTGCTCAGCTCAGAGCTCAGCAGGGCTGGTTGGCTGCAAGCCCCCCTTGTCTCTTACAGAACACCACCTACACAGCGATGAGCAGTACTGGGCTTCTGTGAGAGCTGTGCCTCCTGAGCCAGGCTCATCCATGGTCATCTCAGGAACTCGGAGGCACTGACTGCAGCTCAGCAGTAACATGCAGATGTTCTGGGAGTGGCACCACGATGAAATTCAAAGTAAAGGAACGCTGGCATTGTTTAACAGTGGCTTCTGCCCACTGAAAGCACCAGCAATAATTAGTGTTTGACCTGCTTACGTGTTGTTTGG